ACAATACACTACAGTTTACTGTAGTAAAAACTAAAGTATACTACAGTATTTATTACAGTTTATCAGTTCACTACAATATGCTGTAGCATTCATTAACAAAGTGTTGTAAATACTATAATATATACAGTATAATACACTTTACTATAGTATGGTTCAAAAACACTATAGTATTTACTATAAATTACTATAGTATTTTTTCATGTGGGATAATTCCCAGTATTTATAACAGAGGTGGGACCAAGTCATTGTTTTGCAAGTCACAAGTAAGTCTCGAGTCTTTGCATTCAAGTCCTGTCACAGTGATGATGAGGCGAACACCAGTGAAGTGCTCTCATTTCTCATGCCCGCTCCGTGTGTCTGCTGGGCGGCGATCAAACGGACAGGGCAGCGCTTTTCATTGCCAGTCAAGCGCAAGCACGCTGCAGGGCCGCGTCTATAACGACTTTGATCTGATCATAAAGTCTTTCCGAGTCACAGGACTCAAGTCCAAGTCAAGTCTCGAGTCCTTGCTGTCAAAGTCTAAATCGAGTCTTAAGTCTTCTTTAATTATGTCGAGTCGAGTCGCAAGTCATCAAATTTGGGACTCGAGTCCCGAGAAGAGTATAACTGCAGCCCGGTGATCTCCAAATGGGGGCGGGAACTCCAAAACGGGGTGGGAGCTCCAAAATAGGGCGTGGGTTCCTCCCATTGACAGACAGGAGTCCGAGTCGAGTCTCGAGTCATGTGACTCGAGTCCACACCCCTGATTTATAATGCCCCATTCTGTTTTAGAAAATATAATATCCATGCACTTATAGCTGCCACACATCAATCCACAGAACAGACTCCTAAAGGACTTTAACATTTCCTTGGCTAGCGCTACTACTGGAGGACTGAAAAGAGGAATAGCATGTGCGCACATCAGCATTTGTGCAAGCCGTATAAACAGAACAGGGATAAATAGAGTCCCTAGCCAGCTGCTGGTCAGAAGGGAGGTGTTACACTGGTAAATGAAACTCATTCCTTTC